TTTTTTAATTTTATTGTTGTCCTTAAAATTGTTATTTTAGTTTTCAAAAATTATCTATCTGTAATTAAACACTTATTTACAGATATTACTACAGGGCTGGTCGAATACTTGTTTGTCATTGTTGTTACTGCTTAAATTTAACTGCTTATACAGTACTTCTAAGTTTTAAGGTGATTTCTTTTATTTACTGTAAAGTTATTGGAAACTTTTTGACTGATTATGATTATTATTCTATATGTATAATGTTTTTTTTTTTTGAAAAGGTCGTTGGTTTTGTTAAATATGTGTTACTTGTTTGATTTGGTGGTAATACGTGAGAAAAAGGCATGAAACATCTGTTGTTTGTAACTGAGGTGAATTATAGAAAGTGGAGGAAGGGAAGGGGAACAAAAGAAAAATTCACTGTTTAAGTTATCTATTGAATCCTTTTTTATTTTTTTGATGTTCTATTGGTTTTCTTTTTTTTTTTTTCTTGGTTATGGTTAATAGGTTTTCGTGATCACATCTGTTTGAAAAAACTCATTTGTCGATCGTTTAAGGTAAATCAAATCAACAAAGTTTCAAGGTTATTGAGAGGACTTTTTTTCTTGTCTGTTCGTTGGTCAAACAGAAAAAAAAAAATGACGACGGACGAGAAAAAAGAATGAAAAATAGACGACTAAGGAATGGGAGGGTGGCTGGAATTTTTTGGGCGGTGGCGTCGATGAAGATGACGATGGTGATGATGTTAGTAGGTGATTGCAAGTGGAGACCTGTTGGTTAGGTTGTTTTCTTTCGGTTATATTTTTGGAGATGACTCGAGTTTCTTTGATTTGCTTTGGTTGGGTTTGGGTTTGGTTTGGTTTGGTTTTTTTTGGTTGTGTTTAATTCGCTTTTTCTCTAACTTGTTTCTTTTCTTCTCCATTTGCTTATTTTGCTATTGACCTTAGTTTTAATCTTGTTTTATTCTGACAACAAATTAGATGTAGTGCTCTTGCATCTAAAAGCTGTTTTTTATTTCTCGTTACAATGCTTACCTTTCTTACACACAAATTAAAAAAAAAAAAAAGAAATCTCAGCCGATATCGTTTTGCTCAAAGCACACTTAGTCTTTTTTTTTTTTGATTGAACTCTAATCTAAACAAGTCGGCCTTTAGCGGCCAGCTCTGCACTTGGTGACTGTTGAGTTCAAAGAACTAAACTGTTTGCCTGTCTATACTCTGAATTAGCTTAGTATGGTTCAATGTAAATGAAGTTGAATTGAAATTAGTATGCGGTACCTTTTTTTAGTGCTGTTTACTTCATCTTAGCAGAATAAGAATTTGGTGAAGAGGGGAGGTGGTGGAGAAGGAAATTGGTTGTCTTTATACGTAATTGTAATTTTAGAAATTTTAGAAATTTTTTCTTGTTTGCTTATCTATTGTTCTGTATTTTTGAAGGAACTAGTTAAAATTTTTGTTATACTAATCACCAATCAGTTTTGAACAATAAGAATGCATTCTAAAAAGTCAAGAATTTATTGCTGCTTATTTGGGCACTAAATGTCAGATGCAAATAAACAACATTAGGAAATATGTTTGCTGTTGCTATATAAGATGTACCAATGGCTAAATTTTAATATTTTTTCAATAGTTCAAA